CTCTCTGGAGACAGACAGAGCAGGAAAGTAAGAATCGCCCTCCGGGGAGGATGGCCATGCCACAATCCCATCTCCTTCTCCCCTTGGGATTTTGTGTACACACACACATCTGCTCAGTATGTTTTTTTCAAGCCGCCAGGTTGGAGACTTGACTTGCACAGCCAGCCATGTGGGAGCTGGTGCCTTACCCACCACGCCACCTGCTGGCCTGAAATAGGTATGTTTGACTCTGTCTTGCATGTCATGATTTTCCTGCTCCAGCCCTTTCAGTTAGTCAGGACCACAGGTGATGTTGCCAGGCCTGGTTAGGTTGGGCCAGAACCCATGGTAGGCCTCCCATGAGGTCTCAGTGACCCTGCAGCGGTGTCCTCCCACTTGTGCCAATGCAGCTGAGGCAGAAACCTCCATTTCTGGGCCTGAGTGTCCTCACTGGATCCACAGTGGCCGTTCACACGAATAGCAACTGCTACTGTCCGTGTGCTGAGCAAGTACTCATAGTATGTTTAGTGGTAACGAATAGTGTGTGTGTGTGTGTGTGTGTGTGTGTGTGTGAAATGAAACAAAAACCGAAAAAGGGAAAAGATGAAAGAAATAGGACACTGTGAGGGTTAGAAGCAACTTTTGTTTTCTCTTTCTGCTTGTCCATGTACTTTCCACTTCTTCATAGCACATGTTCCAGCCTGGAACTACAGCTCTTGTTCGTTACATGATCCCAGCAACGACATTTCAGTTCTCTGAGAGAGAGTCCTTGCCAGCCTTCTTCCTTCCTCCAACACCTAGAACAATGTCTGGCAGTAGGAGGGGCTGAAGAGGTGTTTGCTCTCCCTCGCACATATACGTACACACCTTCTTTTAAAGATATTTGAAATCAGAGAGACATTATCATCACGATCTTTAAAAATTCACGGTACTCATAGGAGTATAAGTTTATACAAATTTTCTCTTTTCTTTTCTTTCTTCCTTTTATTTATTTATTTTTAAAATTTGCCAGAGGGTGCATGTGCTCTCTAGGGAGAGAGAGAAAGAGAGGGAGGTAGGAAATGAGAAAACAAGCCCCTTGGGGAATGGTCATGCTACAATCTGTTCTCTCTCTCTCTCCCTCTTTTTTTTTTTTTTTCACTATAGGGCATGTGCGCTCGCCAGACAGAGAGAGACACAGAGACAGAAAGTGAGAAATCACCCCCAGGGGGGATGGTCATGCCGCAATCCCTTCTCCTCCATTCTCCTCTCAGGATCTTGGGCACGCACTCACACGCGCCCGGCGTGAGTTTTAAGCCACTGGGTCTGGGACGCGAACCGCGGTTGACTACGTGGGAGTCCAGTGACATAGCCATTACGCTAACTGCTGGTTCCCTCTCTCCCTCTTTTTTGTGATTTTGGGCATGCATGCATTCAAGTCACTGGGTCCAGGATTTGAATCACCCCATGTGGGTGCTGCCTTAATCACCACATCACTAGCTGGCCCAAGTTGACGTGTATTTTTTCTATGGAGAATGAAGGTCATAAAAGGTCATGACCTTCAACTCAGAAACTAACAGTAGGAACTGGATAAGAAATTCAGACAAATACTTATTTAGTCTTTGCAGCAATACATAATAGTGTGAAAAATAAGGTGTGGTTAAATATATTATGAAGAAGGCCTCAGATAATAGCTATAGTTGAGTAAATTGCTATAGAAAGAGGTATATTGTCTATTATAAATTTTAAGAGTAGTTAACAAAATAGCATATTCAGTATTACTCATTACATTTGAGGAAACTTTGCAAAGTGTGTATCCCAGAATATTAACACTACCTTTTTCTGGATTGTGAGATTGTAGATGTTTCAGAGTTCTTTCTGTGTGCTCATCAACACGTTTTTTAAATGTTTACCGAAAAACAAACAAGTGAATGAAACAAGGTGTTGTTTTATTTTGTTTAATTTAAAATAGTGTTTAAAATGATTAGGCGTAAGCAATCGAAAGAGGATTTTCTAAAGAAACAACTATGGCACGTCCCAAACAGATGTAAAATTTGCAAGTGAATTATAATCACAAAACTGTTTCAGTATTTTCTATCTCTATTCCTATTGCTCAAACATTCATCTCAAGTGAAAACAACATTTCTCTCTGGGCTCCAAATGGGATTTGTGGATGTACCACCTTCTGCCAAAAGAAGTTAATATTGCAAATAATAATCAGATCAACAGTGAACAGCCCTGGGGGGTAAATCAAAAGCCACAATTCGCCATTATCCTTGAGTGGAATCTGCAGAGGTAGGAGGGAGTGGAGAGCTTGTCTTGCCAAGTCAAATCAAGTGAAGGGCATTAAACACCACTGTACAACTCTTCCACAGGAGGCCTACACGCCGCTGCTATGCCTCTAGCGATCCCTGAGAAGTTCCAGCACATTTTGCGAATACTCAATACCAACATCAATGAGCGGTGGAAAATAGCCTTTGCCATCACTGCCATTAAGGGTGTGGGGCGAACACATGCTCATGTGGTGCTGAGGAAAGCAGACATTGACCTCACCAAGAGGGCAGGAGAGCTCCCTGAGGAGGAGGTGGAACGTGCGATCACTATTAAGCAGAATCCATGCCAGTACAAGATCCCAGACTGGTTCTTGAACAGGCAGAAAGATGTAAAGGATGGAAAAAACAGCCAGGTTCTGGCCAACGGTCTGGACAACAAGCTGCGTGAAGACCTGGAGAGACTGAAGAAGATACGGGCCCATAGAGGGCTGCACCACTTCTGGGGCCTTCGAGTCCGAGGCCAGCACACTAAGACAACTGGCCATCGTGGGTGTATCCAAGAAGAAATAAGTCTGTAGGCCTTGTCTGTTAATAAATAGTTTATATACCAAAAAAAAACCAAAAAAACAAACAAACAAAAAACACTGTACATACAAGACCCACTGAATGAAGCTCTGAGGAAACACAAATGATCCCCAGGTCCATGTTGGCCAGAGACAATCCAGATTCCTGATGCAGCCAAGGAAACTCTCACCAGTACATTTGTTTGGAGTGAGCAGGGAAGATAGTATTAGAGGTGAAGAGAAGGGTTCTAGACCAGGAGTCCTCAACCCCGGGGCTGCAGACTGGTATGGATTCATGGTCTGTTGGGAGTCAGGCTGCCAGGCCACACATGGTAGGAGTGGGGAGGGTGGCCCAGAAAGCGAAGCTTCCTCTGTATTTGCAGCCACTCTCCATTACTTGCATTGCAGCCCGGGCTCCCCCTCCTAGAAGATCAGTGTCAGAATCAATTCTCATGGGACCACAGATCCTACTGTGTGATTGTTTCATTGTATATTGCCATGTGGTAGTGTTAGAAATGGGGTGCGGGGTGGATATGATGTGTCTGGGTCATCCCGGGGCCACCCTGGGTCACACCCCTACTCCCCTCCACCCCCATCCCCATCGGTGAAGAGATTGTCTTCTACAAGGCAGGTGCTTGCTGCCAGGAAGGTTGGGGATCTGGACACTATGGGTTACTCCTTTTATAATCTGAAAGCTGAATCAACCCTGCTGGCATGATAAAAGAACATTAAAAAAACTTTACAATATTTAAAAATAAGTTTGAAACCTTATTTAGTTCATTTCAGGCATAGCACCAAGAAACTAGTCTAAATCACACCTTGTTATCTGTTTCTGCAGGTGTAGTTTTTGATCTGTGTATCTGAGCCATCCTTAGAACCCTACTTGATAGTTGATCAACATCTGTCAAACAAAATATGCAAAGAACCCTGCTCTTTACTGACCAACATGAAAGCATTGTGCTACTAAATTTTAGTAATGAGAACTTCTGCAATTCTCAGGAAATAGCTACAAGATAGGATTTCCTTCCCAGCCTCTTTCTTTAAGCTCTCTCCTGCTACCCTTTATCTGCCAGGAACAAAAACAGAGAAACAGTAGCAAGCCAGAATTAAGGAGAAAACAAAAATGTTAGAGTCTGAGGTGCTGGGAAGGTAGGTAGGGGAGATTGGGTTCTGTAGGACCCCGACTGCCAGGATATTGAATATTGACTCTATCCTGAAGATAATCAGGAATCCTTCACATGGAAATGGACTAGAAATTTTAAATCAGCCTTTAAGTTTCAGAAACAGAAATCTACTGAGAGGAGTTCATTTTAAAGCTGAATCTCCACACTTGGACTGTGAGATCATACCCATCTGGTAATTTCTGTCGGTCTCCAGATTAGGCATGGATGACTTGGGACTTGGCACCTTGGCAGATGGGCTAGCAAGAGAGGAGCAGGTGTCATGTCAGAGACCTCCACGGACACCGGGGCAATTTGACTTGTCACTTACAGAGGGAGACAGCCCGACAGTGCCCCATCCTCCAGCTGCTGAGTCATCCTGCTCTGGGAGCTATTTAAACAGAAGCTTCCAGGAGACACACCATCAACACTCCACTCAGACAAGCCCAGACCTCCCTGGGTCCAGCTTGGCTGCCCTAGACAAGGGCAGTTTCCGTCCTCTTATCCCCTGTTGTCACACTGTGGGTTCTGACTCCTGGCTTCTTTCCTCAGAATGAACTTACCCAGCCTGCACTTTAATGGGACCTTGGTGCCAGAGGCCACCAGCTCCTCTTTCAAGTTTTCTCATGGTGACAATGGGTATTCTGCTTTGACTTTTTTGTTTCTTTCATATTAGCAAACTTTGGTTAAACACCTACTATGGGCTATGCACCGATCTATGAGTAAGGGTTGGCTAAAGGATGAACAAGATACATCCTTGGATCTTGTGCTCGTTTTTTGTTTGTTTGGGTTTTTTGAGGTTTTAAACTTAGGGCATGTGCACTCACCAAAGAGGAAGAGACAGAGTGAGACAGAGACAGTGAGAGAAAAAGTAAGAAATTGCTCCCCAAGGGGGATGGCCATGCCTCAGTCTCTCTTCCTCCATTCTCCTCCCGGGATCTTGGGCATGCATGCACACATGCCTAGTGTGATTTTCCAGCCACTGGTCTAAGACTCAAACCGCGGTCAGCCATGTGAGAGTCCAGCGACACCTGCTGACCCTCCATCCCTGTTTTTAACAGCTCACAGTCCAACGGAAAAAACTGACAGTTATCAGATAACCATGTGTGCGATGAGATGGCTGCAAGACAGGTAAATCTAAGATGATGTTATTGACTAGATTTTGGGAGGGATATCACTACTTTTGTCTAAAAGCCATCACTATCTGAGAGGCATCAAAGGGGCGTGGGATGCCGTAGAGAGGCTTTCCAGCTCTGCGGTGATTTCGCACTTCCATACCTGTCTGCTGTCCCTGTTTGACCTGGGCGCTCTCACCGCTGGTCTGTCCAGCTGGGAGTGCTGCTGACGGTTCTTTCCCCAGCCTCTCCTCTAGGTGCTCCTTCAATGGTCAGATGAGGACTCTTCACATTTGGCTGCCCTCCATCAGCCACAACTGTCCTGCCCAAAGAGCAAGCTTTGGCTTTAAAGCTGCTTCCTAGCCCGCCTCCGCCACCACTCTATTGAGGAGTCCAACTTGCCTTTCGGTATCACGGTTTCGTCACCTGCTAAAGGAGCTGGATGTGATGACGTCTGTGGGAAGGACAAGACTTAGCGTGCCCGCACTGTGGTGCCCAAACGCTGTTCTCATCTGCCGGTAGAAACGTACTGTAAATAAAGAAAAAGGCCACTGGCTTATTTTAAACACCCAGTATGATCTAAGAGCTCATAATGTCCTAGACACTGTGTGAAAGCTTCTAGTTCTCACCGTAATACTGTTCTTATGTTAAAATCCCATTCTGTAAACTGAAGACATTATGGCTCAGAGAGGTTAAGAGACTTATCTAAGGTCACGTCGCTCTCCAAATTTGTGTTTAGCTTGAATGTGAATATAGCTTTCTGTGACTTGACGTTTGTCTTCTTTCTACACTTGGCTTATTTCACAGCAAGAGCCATGGAATATTAACATACAGTAAGAATTCCGATTCAAGTCTGACCACTAGTCTTCTAAGAGCGATATAAATATAGGATTTCTACCCTGAGCTTCTGAACCTGTGCTCTGAAACATGCCACCAGTCGGAACAAGTTGGTGTAGGGAGAAGCAACGAGCAGATACCAAAAGCCAGCTCCTCCTCCGAAAATATGATGAAATCGATTTACAGTCTCAGGACTTTTCCTATTGAAGAATTAAACACTCCCTGGGAAAAAGGTAAGAAAAATCTCCCCTTTTTATGACTTGTTGATATCTATGGGTTTTTCCTTAAGCCTCAAAACAATTTACAGCATTGCCAGCAGCATTCAGTACATTCAGAACAGGATCATTGCACCGCTGCTGAAC